ACCTTGGTATATAGAATCAAAGATTTTGCTGATGTTAATTCTCTAGAGAGCATACGAGTAAAAGTAATTTTAAAGGACTTTGTACAATTCCAAATTTTAAGGTTTGTAATTTTACTATATAACCGGGTCGACGGTACTTAGGTAGGCATCAAATGTTGCAATGATTTGTAATTGAACTACAAGTTGTTACTACTTGAAGGCGTTATTTTCAAAGGATTAAAGCTTTCTTTTTGCTAAGCATGAGCTAATACTTTCACACTTAATAGTTAAAAGCGTTAATTAAATTGCAAATAGATGGGGGCCAGATAGAATGATAGCAAGTTCAATAAAGATAAAATGTGTCAATACTTAAGTAAATGTATAAAAAATAGTGGCAATTAACAAATATAAGAGAAAAAGAATTTCAAAACGAGCTGAAACCAAGTTAAGAACAGACCTAGAAGGCTAAGAACCGACAAATAAGTAAGAAACTAAGGTAATGTCCTAATTGATATTTATTATATATTAAAAAATATATATATATTTTAAAAGGATCATGCTCAGAAGTCTATAATTTAATGGAAAGCTTGATTACGGTGGTGAACTTTTTTTTATATTTTGTTGTTCGTCACTTAAATATTTATGCTTCCCTGGCTGTAAGGCTGTAAAAGTTTAGCACCTATTCTTTACAGAAAAACATGAACCTGTAAAACGAAGAAAGAACTTTTACAAACAATTAGATCTTATTATATTACACTATGTTAAGAACAAATTTAGTTCATATAAAACGGTCCTAGACTTCTCTATTTTTGACCCTTTCTCCCTAACAAAATAAAAAACTTGCTCATTACAAAAACATAGCCAGTAGTTGCTAAATTTAGATAAGTAGCGTCAAGCGAAAGCATTGGTCAAAAAAATTGTAAATTTAAAATTTTAGCTAAAGTTAGCAGAATTTGAAAAATAGGGTTAATAATACCTTCCTGTTAGTAAATAACTTAATAGGCATAATAACATCACTCTTTTTGTCAGTCCCCGTAATTATTCCGTTTGATAAATTTTTACTTTTACTCATGTGTAGGTTAGCAGAAGGTCCCCGAGTGTTCTCAAAAGTTTGTAATGGACCTTAGCATCAGCCCCACTATTAAGGTATAAATTGTTGATAATATGATCCAAATACAGTGCGCAGTTAAAAAAAAAAGGGGAGATTCCACACCACAGAGGATATGCCCTTTGCATTTATATTAATTTTAACTGATAGATTTAATCTGTCAAGATTATATTAAAATTGTGTATGTATAATCATTTTAGTTCAATAAAACAAGATTCGATGTTTCGTTCGTGGCATCTTTTCAGTCTGTAGGGCTTTAAAAAAGTTTTAGCTTTGTTATCTAAAGAGCAAGTCTAATATATTGTTTTGGTCTGTAAGGCCCAACAAAGTGTTGTTAGTAACTGTCTACAGGATAGTTTATTTGGAGCTTAACTTCTAGTGGGCGTGTGTATTAATAAAGGAGCCTAAAAGTTTAAAGGAAATTTTAGACATAAATAGCTTCTGCGAAGGGTCCGCAAGAGGTTTTTTCTGGTTTGCGTGTTCGTTTGTAAATCTGGCGAGCAATCAAATAAACCAGTTAATTCGTGTTATCCTTCGCTACCTTTTATAGACGCTACAGTTGGGCACTACGCGAGAAGGGTGTGAGTTTTAGAACCACATATGTATTAATATGTACTTGGTTGGCTACAAGCGAGCTTTAGTTAGAATGTAATTTTTCATAAATAACTGAAAGTAAACAATGTTCACAATGAGAATTGATGTTATCCAGTAGATATAATAAGGGTGGATACAATGATTATATGACCTTAGAATTTGAGTCATTAAAGCTTTAACATTTTTAAGTAGCACAGAATTTGCGAGTATTAGACATTAGTCGTTACTGTCAACATAATCAATAGTTCATAGTGTTGCAACATTAGTATTTCCATATCCACTAAATCATTAAATTAAGTTTTCTTCGTGATAAAAATTGAGCACATTGTTTAATAAAAAGTTAGGGAAATAAGCACTAGTAGCTGTCAAGTGGAATACCTCGAAAAATTTGTACAGTTTTAGCGTTCGTTGATTTAACAGGCCGGGAGTCCTCAAAAATATATACTGTAAACGTTACTTTATATATAATAAAAATAATAAGATATACTGTATACTTTCATGTAATATAAAATATGTGGTCGAATAACTAAGGCACTGTGGAAATTTATTTGAAAATAATGGGGTCTGTAGGAGCACCAAACCAACCCTACAAATAAGGAGGTGAAAAATATGGCAGCATCGCACATGGGCCCACATTTATATAAGCACTTGCAACCCCCTGTTCCTCATACTAAAAACTCGAAAAATATTTACTTTCAACTTGCAACCAACTATATTACACATTTTTTTGCAGTACCTTTAGCTTATGCTAATTTAAATGCGCCAACTTGTATAAAGTTGAGTTATGCTAGCTTCGTAAAAGCTTATAAGGGTTATCAAAACCTTGAAAATTTTGTAAAAAGTTGAAACTTAAGCAACGCCAGAATATAGGGCTACACCGATTTAACAGCCCTTCTGTTCAACTATCGGTATGTACTATCCCAACATAGACTAAAAAACGAAATGCGACAACAAAGGTTTTCTTACTTACTGTTAGAAAGCCTATAATTAATGTACAACGTTCAGCGGGAACTTTAAGAGGGCAGGAGTTTGGTTTTTCTCAGTTGTAACGAAGGATTTGTAAAGTCGTAGGCCCATAAAGCATACAACCTTAGCTTTGCCGCACAATAGGAAGCTTTATGTATTTCACGAGAACTTCATTATATTTTGGAATTAAACGGACCCTTGCTACTTTTTTTCGCTTTTTTGGCCGTAAATGGTTAACAAATAGGCAGAGCTCAGTGTGTGTTTTTTTGGTTATAAGGAGCGCCTGGTTCTTTGGCATTTAATCCATGAACGGCGAGGTTTATAATGACGACGAGTAAAACAATGATTACCGTTATTTACCCGAGTTGACAGGGCAGCGCCAATGGTTCATAGTCATCGGTAGCAGTTGTTTTCAGCATTTTAGTAATGTTGGCGTCGTAACTTTGTAGCAATCGTTTAGGTCACGTCTGTGGTAGTTAGCTCTAGGTCTCGGCAATATTGTCTTGAAATAATTATGACTTAGGGTGCACGTCTTTAGCGATTATGGGTTTAGGCGATATGCTCTGGGAAGCAAAGAGCTTTACCATGTTTTTTCATTGCGTCAAGCTATAATATTGCTATTTCGTAGAGGCGGCCGTGGTGTGTGCCCCCGTGGATGTCCGCTCCGGCCTATGTTTAGTAGTGACCTTCCATTATAAGTTTACGGTACAGCAGTAAGCATTTCCTCCAAGTGCTCTGTAAGCAGTTTAGCACCAGTTCGTACTCGACGCTTCAAAGATCATGACCGCTTAAATGAGACGCCTCTCAAAGAGGCGTGTAAAGTTCTACGTAAGTTCACTAGTCATCGTTGCGACGATTTGAGCAGCTGTAATTGCACTCGCAATGCTGTCAACAGCGTTCTTCAGTAAAGTGGAGATTTAGTAGCGACAGAATTGGCAAATTGAATTTTCTCAATTGTAAAAGAATAACGTACTACATTTATAGCCCCCTTCCCATCCTTCATTGGAGCAAAACTTGCATTCTGGCGACAGTTGGTTAAGCATATCAATATTTGCTGGAAGACATTTTCGCGTTCAACTGAATTGACTTTAAGGTTGTTGCACCCACCTAATCCGTAGAATTGCTAAAACTTGGAAGATGTTAAGTAGCCTACTTGAGGGGCTTATTAATAACTGTGGGGGGCCCCTTATGTGCACTAACAAAGGTTAAGTTCCATTAAATGCTAATTATTAATAGTTTTCTGGGATTTGTAAGCTAGTAGTTCGGGTTAGTTTTAATAAACATGCTTTTAACCTTTAAGTAATTTTTACTGTACCATTAGCGGTCCCTTAGTGTTTAAAAAATCTTTATTTAATTTTTCGTTCTCCTAATCATTTATTTATTAACTTTTTTACAAATACAGCGTTAGGGGTTTTTAGTTAGCTTACACCCCAACGTTGTGGAAACACAATGCTAAGATTTATAGTTTACTTCGTCAAATGTTGTCGGGAAGGCTCTCAAACTAGTTCATTATAGTGTCAACATAGGTAATACTTTTATGCAGTTTGTTATATACTGGCACAGTGTCTAAGTGTCTTCCTTGGTTTAAAAAGAGCGGCAAGTTATCTTTTTGTCAAAAAGGTAATGAGCTGTAATGATGACGACCAATATATATAGTCAACTGGATTGCTAGCAATATAGTAGTTGATTTATTTTTATAGTATGCAAATTCCAGTAAAATTTAAAGTTTACATTAAGCTCTATTATTTGTATTAAATATTGTATTTAACGGAGCTATTCTAAAAATATTTTCAAAAAGTATTGGTTGCTACAACTTTATAGTTATCAAATCCTTGTCTACTCGCTCTTTGTAGCTTCAACTTAATTATCATAGATTTACTGTACAAATTACTAATTATTTTATGACTTTAATTATTCAATTTGTTGTCGGCTGGTTATGGTCTTATAGTTGATGTTACTTGTTATTAAAATATTTGAATACTTGTGCAATAGTAGAAGTAAAAACAGTATTTAAACTAATGAAAAATAACCAATTGCGCTTTACAAGTTAAGTTTTCTATCAATAACTACGCCCAGCTAAACAGTAAAAGTGTAAGAACATTAGTTTAATCGGATAATCAAGTTTTAAGTCGAATCTTTATGCCATAATTTACTAGATTTGGCTTTAGCAAGTTATACTAAAAAAGAAATTATAATGTTACAATGATTCTTTCAAACTTGTACTTAATTAAATATTCTACACAACTGTGTAACATTGTATAAACGTATACAATTCTTACAAAAGCAATAAGCAACGCGTATAAAATATAAAGTTTTAAACAAATAACAGTTTGTGCCTTTATTATTCGCCAGAATTTACAAAAGAACGCAATAAAGTAATATCAACAAGTGCTTTAGGAAATTTTTATTTTTTCTTTTTCTCTTGAACTATTAAATTTTTCAATGAGTGGAGGAGTCCATTTAGTCCCCATAACATCATCCCAGAAAGTAAAAAATGGTTGTGATAAGTTGTAGCTATAAAAATATAAAATATATATTCATAATAATCACCATTCATGAATGAAATAACTATTAAAAAAAATATTATAAACACCTTATATAAATTACTATTAAAAAAATAATTATTTCTTAATTATTCAAAAAAAAAATTGCTTTATACATTCTTACATATAGTTTATTATCATAACTAATTTTCATTATAATAAAAATGTATCGCCACAAATTGCTGTGGCCTTTTACTATACTTTGCCCTCAGTAACGTGCTTACCACAACCCCTATAAAAACTTGTTTCTTAGTGTATTTTTAAAGTTTATTTCATAGTAAACTTGTAATTGACTTTCATATTAATTTTTTTTGTATTTTTTTTGTATGTTGTATTGATAAAGTGGAATAAATATTATATTCAGAAGTAAAATTTATCATAAAAACTACTTTAAACCGATTGGCTGGTGGTGGAAGTCGTGATAGAGCGAATTATTTTTAAATACTGCAAAGGGATTGGCTGGGAAGACCAAATTACAGTGATCAAAAAGTGTCTTCAAAGTAGAAAAGCATGCAAACAAAAGAGCTGTTGATTGGTGCATTCCCGAAAGTTGGATTGCCACGACTCCGCCGAGCGTGTCCATAAAAATGCCTTTAAAAATTTCATTAAAATAATTTCATAATAATAAAAAATGTAATGAAGTTATTCATTATTTTATAGATAGTTTATATTTATACAAAATTTAAATCTACTTTGGAAAAATAATGAGAAAGTCCGTTTCTTCTATAACAAAAGAATAATAAAAATCGTATATATAAATAGTTATACTACAATTATTTATATTATAATAAAATGATTCTAATATTTAATTTAAAACATAAAAAGAAACTTTTAAAACAAGATAAAGGAAATCTAAAAAAAAGTAAAGTATTTTAATAATGTAATTACAAAATTTTATAAAATATTATTAATTAAATTAACTAAGTAGATTTTTAAATTTTTTGCTGATATAAAAATAGTTTAGAGCTTAAGTATAATTACAAATATAAATAAATTCTTAACATAATATAAAGTAAACAAATTCCTATAAACGTTTTAAAAGTTTAATAAAAAATGTAATAAAAAAATTCGATATGTTAATAAAAAAATTCGGTATGTTAAATTAAATTTTAATTACAAATTAATATAAAAATTATATTTACTATTATTATAAATACTTATAACCTTCAAGGGGATGATTGTAAAGAGCTCCGAGAGGGTACGGACAGTAAAGTCGGTGATGCCAAGAGTGAAAGTTATTATAAAGAAATTTATTAGTATGGGCCCAACTAATTAAGTAAAAAGTAAAAATAAATTTGATAAATTAATTCAGAGGTTAACAAAAAAAAATACTTAAAAATTATTTGATCACAAATAATATAATATATAGTACCGATGAAACCAATACTGGTAAGTGTCTAAGAGGATCATTGCAGAAATAAACTTAACAATGTGAATAAAAATGTGTTCAGGCTCCTAAAAAAATAAAATTTTATTTAAAATTTTTGAAAAAACTCAGCCTTCATATTAAATTATTATTAATTTTCGAAAGAAATAAAAAAATTACTTCCATAAAAGGCTCATCAAAAGCGATATAAGCTAGAAACATTTGAAGGACATGTTGAAAAAGAACCCACTTGATGGCTTCCCGTAGATTAACTCGATTTCTGTCTTCTACAGATTTTTGATGTATTCTGAATGATAATAAATATATATATATGTGTGTGTGTATGTGCTAGCTAAGGATATCTATAAAATGCAAAATATTTAAAGGTCTCGTATATAGTCATTAATAAAAATTATAATTGGTCTTATAATTACGTCTCAGTTGTTTAAACTTTTTGATAAGTTTAACGATCTGGGGATATAAATAAAATAAAGCTAATATAACCCACCTCCATTTTTCGGAAGCTTTAGTAGACAAAAAAAGATGTAGCAGAGTTCCTGCAATCCAATAACAACATACAGGGGACACGATAAATAAAACTTTGGCGGTGGTGCAGAGCATTAAAGCTTCTACAAAAGATTTAAGATTTGCTTAATATAAATAATATTACTATAAGTGTATAATGTAAAGAACACCTACAAGGCACGGTGCTCACCTCTACAAAACCGAAGCAGCTTTAATGATAAACATTGAGTTTTCTAAATAATTAAGTAAAACCAAATTAACAAGAAACTATTGGATAGCTTATTGTATAACACATTAGTCATTTGTCCTCGTCAACCTCTTGGTTGTCAAAGTTTTATTATTGGTAACATTAATTTTCTTTTAAGCCAATAGCTAATTTATTAGAAATTTTTTTACAAATAAAGAAAAATGCTATTAATTATATATTAAATAACAATGCAAAAATGCAATGTGATAACTTAATGTTCACAAGTTTCTTAAAGGATCTATGAGATAATTTTTGTTTACTTAGAGCTTTACTTTAAGAAAAAGAATTTAACTATATATTTTAAGTTTTTAAAGTAAGTAATGTTCTAGCTTATATAATATTGTTTTATTACTTTTAAAGTATGAGTAATCAATTAGAAGGCCTAGTTAAACGGCTATTTTTTGGGGTGGAATTTAATATAGCTGTATACTACATAGTTTTTCAGAGTTTCCAGTGTGCTAGCGTAAAGCAACATAATTAATCAATATTTATTTTTATAAACTTTTTATCTATAAGTTTTATAGTTTAACTTAAAGATGCAGAGAGAGAGTAAAATTAACAGTTAAAAAGCCTTTACCAAAATGAAATGTCAGACTATAGGATTTTTATTTAATTTTATTGAATGTGATGCTCATATATATCAAGAAATTTTTTTGTTCTAATAAGTCCGAATCGTGCCATCTTATATTGTTAAAGCTAGTGAAAAGTTCAAGTTTAGGAATACTGGTGGCAGAAAGGTTTTAACAACAGTCTCAAAGATAAATTCTTGTTAAGAAAAGGGCCAATCACTAAATTTTTCTCGTGATTTTCTTTATTAATACAATTTTAAGTTTTTATTGCTATTAATGTTTTTTAACTTAATCATAGGATTCGCATATTTACTTACTTATTTATTATTATGTATATAAAAATATTTTTATATATTTTTCCTTATAAAATTATATTTTATATATTTTTATAAATAATTTCTATGTTATTGCATTGAGCTGCTTTTTAGTGTTTTTATATTTTTATTTAGTTTTCAAAAACTTTTATTATATTTGTAGTGTTGTCAATGTATATTTATAGTACAGTTTTATTTTTATATATTTTGTGTAGAAAAGTTTTAGTTTGTAAATATTTTTAACATTTTCACTATTTATTTTTTTATTATTTATTATTAATTTAACTTTTTTTAAGTTAATTTTCTTTTTATATTTATTGTTATGAAGATAAAAAGTTTTATTATTACTAGTCATAAATACTTTTATTATTTTTATTTTAATGAAAAGTTATATTATTTCTATTATTTATATAACTGTCTCTAATTTTTATTATTATAATATTTTATAGTCGAAAGCAGTTTCTTTTGAAAGAATTGCAGTTCCGGTGGGGTCTGGCGATGTAACTTCTCTTAAACATTTTATTATTAATAAATATTAAACTAAAATTTTATTTTTATATAATTTTAGTTAAAAAATTATTTTCTTTAAAACTACAAATTTGTTTAATAATTTTTTTAATAATGAAATTATTCAGTGGAGGCTCTAATGCCTTTTTATTTTTTACTTGTCACAAATATTAAAAAAGTTATGTTTTGAGAGTTATTTGGTAAGATTAAACTAGTTGTTTAAAATTTAACTTTATTTGTAACAAGTTATTATAAATAGTGTTTTAAGGGTGTTAATGTGTTAAAGTATTATCCGCTTAGTTCATTAATTGTTGCAAATAATTTTAAAATTCACCAATTTAAAGATTATTTGGTAATCACCAGATAAAACTTAATGATCTGTTTTTAATTTGTTAGAGATATATTTTAAGAGGTACTTTTATAAGGTAACAAATAAAATAAAGCTCTCAAGTTATTTTTCACCCGTTTAGCTTTTAATTGTTACAATATTTAAAACCCCCATTGGGAGCTATATGGTAATTTTAGGCTAATTTGTTACAAATACTTTTAATAGTCACGTTATTATTATTTGGTAATTTTAAGCTTATTCTATGAGGTATTGGTTTACCTTTAACTTTTTTTGGTTGGTAAGCATGGATGTTGTGATTTGTAATTTTTCTAATTTTGCTATATTGGTTTAGAAGTATTACAATAGTAAGAATATCGAACCAAATAAAGTAAACAAATTCTAACAATTAATTTAGAAAAATAAAAATTTAGTTGTCTTTTTTATAAATTTTTGTTTTATAATACATAAAAAAGTTTTAAAAGTATGAAGATGAATTATATAATATAGTTTAGTAAAATGTTTATATAAATAATATTAATAAAATTAATTTAATATAAAAAATTTTATAAAAAATACTGACTAAAGTATAATTTTTTAAAATTAGTAAAAAAACGAAAATAGTTATTAAGGCGAATAACCCTTTAATTATTTTATAATATAAATAAAAAATATATAAATTTTAAAAAAAAAAGGATTATACAAATAGTGGGAGAAATAATAATAATAATAAATTTATCATAGTCAACGAATTTTTTCAAGTTATACAAAAGTAAGAGTCGGGCCAATAAGCATTTAAATTAAATGAAAGAACGCTAATTGAACTCTCCAGTGCCTTTAAGGCGCTCTTCGAAAGAACAGTGCTGGTAACGTATACAAGTTAATATAATAAATTAATAAAAATTCGGCTGATAAAATAATAAAAAAAAAAATATAAAAATGTATTAAAAAATTATTAATAAAATTATTTTCTACAAAATCTTCTAGAAAAATTATTATACTTTTTATGCGAACCACTTTCAAGTTTTTGTATTTAAATATTAAATGCATTTTAAAGTTATACTCAATGCGCGTTTTTGGCACTTTTAAAAAAATAGAACAGTTTTTATGGTTGTTTTCTTATTAAGTTTATTAAACTAATATATATTTTTAAAAAAGATATTATTATTAGTAGTAAAATAACTTAATCAATGAAGACGCTGACTTTAGTAGAGTAGCGCAGGGAATTGGTAAGGAACTCTTCAAATAACAGTGGCAAAGGCTATTAGTAATGAAGGAGCAAGTATATAAACTCATTATGCAATTCCAAAGCTAGACATTCAGCGTTTTGATTTGACTATATAAAAAAATAAAAGTATTTGTTCCCAATTTTTATTGATACCCTCTAATGCAGTTTTCTTTCGGCTTCATTTTCGGGTTATTAAGAAAGGTATTATAAAAATTTTATAAGAAAAAACAAAATACATTGTAGCTTCACTTCATATCTCTTTTTTCATGGCGTTATTTAAAAGTATTTCAATTATTATGAAAAACTCTTGAAAAGTTGCTTGGGATTCTACTGATGTAGTGTATGTAGTTAGCAGCTTAGCTAACTATTGGATGCATATTTTTTATTAAAATAATTACTTGTAAATATTATAATAACTTATTTACATTTATCATTTTTCAAGAAAAGCTTGAAAATCTAGACTTGCACATAATTATTGTTATTAATGTGTAGTGGCATAAATTATTAATATCTTTACTATGTTTTCAATATTTTTTATTACTATAAATAATTTATCATTTATTAAAAATATAAATTATTATAATATTTTACTAGTATATATTAATATACGCAGTATGTGAAAAAACGGTAAGGATCTATTAAATATGAGTATTAAATTTTAGTACGACAATACTTGGTACACGCTTGGTTAATTACTAAACCCACTAAAAGTTTTACTGCAGCAAACTTGGATAAACGTAGCAACTTCATTAATAAATCACACATTTACAGAGGCCCTAAATATATAGTTCAAACTATTTTTATGAAAAACTGTTCAAATAGGTTCATATAAAAACTTATAGTTGAAAGCTTCTGTGTAATATTAATAGTCAAAAATTTTTTTTTAAAATATTTGCTCCAAAGGGGATTACCGCACTCTGTTCCGCGTCTTCCTTAATATATCTTAAATATACTTCTTTCCTTGTCGTTTTTAGTATATATAAAAAGCATTGAAGCTGGTAGCAAAAAATATATAAAGACTCTTAATTAAAAAAGACTTTCCAGTTTAATAGTGTGTCAAAGCAATTGATTTTTTGTTTCTAATACATTAACACTTTTTAATAATTGCGTTGTTTTTACCTTGCTTCATTTAAAGACCAAAGCATTTAAATACTTTTATCATTATTATAAATGATCTGGTGCTCGATCTGGTTGTGAAGATAAACCGAATTTACGAGTTTTTAAAGGTGATGGTGTACAAATTATCTTTAAGCTTAGGTTAAAGAAATATAACCTATATATAATAATTCCACCCCTAACCCAATTTATGTATATCTAGAGTCCAGCGCGCGGTCGGCAATAGCATACGCCATCCCAGGTTTGTAATTGAGCTCCTCTGCCACTAATCGATAGATGTGCTGCTTGAGCCGACCGTAGGTGGCGAATAGCATTGCGTCGAAAAACGTTATCTAGAGGATCAATCTGGAGGTCTTGGTATAAGGCATCGTCGCCAACAAACCACGACGCGCCCGTCATAAGGCGTAGCAGCTTGTTTTGTCTCATTTAAAGCGAAGAGATTGCCGGTGAGTTGAAAGCCCTACCCTGATTGAAAAGTTCAGTGGCAGTAGTGGTGTAATGTGCCTCGTGTCCGCTTTAATAGGAATTTTTCCACGACAACACAGTTGTCAAGAGTCACTAGGTAGTAGTGCAGACGTTGGCGCAATTGGGCAAGTGATTTTGAAGATAAGTAAATCTCTGTCATCTGCATATAAGTCAATTTGAGCGTGGGGGCCGTTATACTGTTGGCACGTCCCGCTCATAAAGTGCTAAGACTGAGGTGGTAGAAGAGATCCTTGTCAGACTCCTGCTGTTATGGGCTTACAAGCGAACGGCATCGCTTACACGTATATCGAAGACGCGGTTTTTAAGGTAAGAATGGAACACGTTAAAAAGAACAATGGGGAGGGGGGGGGGGGCTTTAGTGAGCAAATTGAGAGGCAAGCCCTTGTGTCAAACTCGGTCAAAAGCTTTTCAGATATCAAGCAAAATCGCCCGTTGAATTCTATATAATGAAAGCACAGGTCACCCACATTGTCAGGCGAAAAAGTTATTAAGTCCGGTGTATACTAGTCGAAGTCCTAATTGTATTTCTGGAAGGGCGTGACTTACGGCAACGAATGCGTTCGAGTGGCGCAGTATGACCGCCTAGCTACTTTTCCAACAGCTGACGAAAAGCTGATAGAATTGTATTTGCCTGGCGTAGATGCTGGTCGTGGTGTCTCGGAATTTTGACACCAGTGCGAGAGACATCGTAGAGTTAATTAGGCAGCATAGGCTTCTACCGCCACCATTGGTAACTGCTTAAACACCACGTTGGTGATACCGTCGAGGCCATGTACCTTTCGTTTCTGTAGTGTTCATAATCTCCATGACTTCAACTATGGAGATTAGCTCAAGCTGTTCCTCGGCATTAGCAAAGGGTTTAATTCACAAAGCACTTCATTTGCAACTAAATAAGCAGGTGTCGCTTTAGCAAGATCATTTCTGACCTCGATATTGCCGTCTCGCATAGTAGGCAATGGTAATCGCGCTAGGTTTATTGTATTTCGAAATAAAATTTCAGGAAGAGACGAGACCGTTACCGTGATCTTCCGAGATATTTAACTATGCCCCCCACGATCGGTTTGGTACACCAACAGTCCTTTCCTAACGCCCCGGTGTAGCCTATTAAGCACTTATACTTTTTAGCTTCGGGGCGTTGTGACACCGTGGTCATTTCAAATAACCTTTTACCGCTCGCAAATAAGGGCCTTCAACTCATCCGGCAAACTCAACTTCACGTGCTGTCGTAGAAGTGTGGCCACGACATGGTCACAGCACCCTCAAATTAAGTAATAGCAACGTCAAGTAGGGCTGCCATCCTGAGTGAGGCGGAAGCCATTGAAAAGTTTATATCAAGAGGTTTGGATTGAGCCCAACTCGTAAATGTTCTAGTACATGTCCCCAGTAACTCCGTTTCGTCGCCTAAATCAAGAAAACTAGATGGTTCCATTGAAGTTAAAATATAATTAATTTTTAAAAATAACGATATCTTATAAGTCTTATGTCCCGTCTTCCCCATTTGCGTCAAGTATTTAAAACTCGCATTATGCGCTCATCGGCGTTTCAGCCTTTAGAGTAATAAACACGTGCGGAACGCTTCCCACTAACTACATCTGAAGAACAATTTATAAAAGGCATCGTTATCTGTAGAAATAGGTGGACTGTTGGGGGATTTGTAAGCCGCACTGACTACAAGGGCTTCTGGCTGGTTAAGTAAAGAGTAAAAGAGGAACTTCAACCGTGTCACTGCTTTACAGGTCTTGCAAAAATATCACACTTGTTTCGTCTGAGCAAAAAAGCTGCGCCTCACCCGCCCTTATGCAGGTGGTCCTAGAGGTACGACCAAAGTTGCAGAGATTATATGAAACATTGGGAAGAAGATGTATCTCATTAATAACACACAGATCAATTCTTTTGCCATACATCGATTCCTGAAACTCTTATTTTTTATATAAAACGCCATTATCGTTTCAGAACAGAGGACGGATATAAGGAGGTGTCTGCCGTCTAAAAACCACTGCAAACGAGTTTTAGGCCCTTAACCATCTCTAAAATTGTGGACAGTTTGTCGTCAGTATTGAAAAAAGTTGCGGAAGTGTTTCTTGTGGCTATTAGACAGTTGTCTGAGGAGTTGACTTGGTGGCCAAGCGAGCGGCATAAGAAATTGTCGGGATTACACTAGAGAGGATTCTGTTTTTGTAGAGTTGGTAGAGCAGTTTGATTGATTGTTGTAGGTCTTCGTGATTAATGTTTGCAGTGTGCGCTTCAACGCAATTAGCACAACTGCTAGGACTGTCGAAAGGTCTATCAGCTCAAACAACTCTAGGAACTCGGAAAAAATGCTTCTGGCTCTTTCAAAAAGCAAAAAGGCATGATGGAAAAATTCACTGAAGAGTTGAAGGCTTTGAGAGCGGAAGTGGATTTAATGAGAAAAATCATGAATACTTTGGGTGACTATTAAAGTATGTACGCCCCCGGACATCCCACGACAACTAGAATAATTTAATGAAGTCATTAAACCGGCTAAATTTTATGATATCGATGCCTCTTGGAGCAGTGGGGAGCCCAGACCCATTAAAGAAAAGATAAGTTGTGTACTGGAGCTAATGTTTCCAAAAGCTGTTTTTTAAGCGGTAAACTGGAGACGTTCTCCGGTACCAGGGAACGACGATCCAACTGAGGAGGCGGCCAATACGTTAGAGGCTGTTGTACTTCATACAATAATAAAACTTCTAAATTCTACTTTTATTGGTCAACTTCGTATTATCACTGCGCACGGTAATAATTAATTAATAAATTTAGAGCGCAACACTCATCGGCATAAACCACAAATCATAAAAAAAAAGGTCGTGCGCGAGCCATTACCGATATATATATCATTTTCTCTTAGGAACCTTAATAACCCTAACACATAAAGGTAAAATAATTATAAACCATGTGCCTCGCTTCTGATGTCCCAAATATATAGTCTTTTTTTTACTCAACTTCTAAGTAATAGTATTTTCATTCTTATACAAGCTCTTACTAAATTATTCAGTACACTTTATTATAATTTTCTTTACTTTATTAATTATTCTTAGATTAATTATCTTTGCACGCTCTTAAACGCTTCTTTTAAAAGATATATAAGTTTTCGTTAAGCCTCTTCTTCTTATTCACGGCCACGATGCTGTTAAGTAAGGAAGACCAAAAGTTTATCATCCCAATCCAACACAAACATGATTTATTAACTTATTTAAAGAATCAGGAGAAACCTTTATCGGTACTTGCAACAATAGATATAAAATTTTTAGTGGTTGTTTTAACAAATATTTTAAAAGGTTTTACTTTTCACAATTCCTGGTTCACCTTATGATTCTCATATAATTGAAGTTTTATCTGAGTTGAACAACATTTATGCTAATATTAATTTTCTAAAAGTAAATTTTTATTGTTTATTTTTTTCTTCTTAACACACTATTTACTAGAATTTTTTGAACGTGAATATTCATATGTGGTAGAGTTGTAGGGCCTTATATTGTTATTGGAAATAACATAAATTTTAAAAAAGTTGGTTTTCCTTTTTACTTTAGAGGTTAAGACTCGAAGTAAAACGTGTATGATTTATTCGAAAATTGCTATTATCCTCGCCTTGTAATTTTAAATGTTTAACTACCTTATAAATAAAAAAAAAACTACAGAAAAAACTTTAGTTTTCTTACTACTATTGCTATTATTAAGTTGCTGATTTTCAACGAAGCGGAAGAGGACTTTTTTGCACTATAACTATAAATTCTATGCAAAACTTTTTAATTATAATATTTCAAATTTAATTGAACTTAAGCAGTAATTTTTTTTCTGACTTAATTAGGTGAATGCTCAAGACAATTCTCATCTTTGTAACGAGTACTCGGTTACTGAAATCCCTACAATAATATTATTTAAAGATGGGATCGTTTTTTCTCGAGTATTATTGAAACATAACTTTTTTAATCTAATTAATTTTATTATTTAAAAAAAAAAGGTGATTGGTGTTGACATTATTGATCTTAGCGAGAAAGTTTCTTCGTTGAGTGCTTTTGATAAACAAGAAAATTTTAAAATCTTGAACAATCTTGATTCTGAGATTTCTTTGACTGCTCGCATGTTTCGATTAATTAATTCTTCTCCTTTAATGATTTTTATGAAGGGTAACTTTTTTTTTCTTCTTTTAATATATAATTAAATTAAATAGGTCTGATTTTTTAATTATGAAGTTAACATTGTAATTTTTTGCTTTATTATTATTATTATTAATTTCATTCCTGGGACTTAATTTTTTAGAATTTAATTCTAAATTTTTTGGATTTTTGATTTTAATTTTATAAAATGATCATTTTAGTCTTAATTTTCTAAAACTTATTTTATACAGCAATCAATTTATCAAGAATTTTAATATCTTTTTGTACATTAACTGTTTAAGTAGATTTAACTTTATAATCTTTTTTATAATTGTAAAATGTTTGCGATCGGTTTATACCGTTTATTTTTTTATTATTTAAAAATTATTTTTTGAAAGTTAAATGAAAAAATTTTATTATACATTTATTTAAATTGAATATTTCTTAGTTTACAAAATTTACTTTTTTGTATTTTGCTTTAATTTTTATTATAATTAATTTTAACTTCAGTTTTACTTTTTATTTAAATTTATAAATTTATTTCGTTGTTCAAATAGTATTTTTTAAGATTTAAAATTTATTAATTTTTTAAAAACAGGGAAGCCCAGTGACCCGCGTTGTAAATTTTCACGTGCGTTAATTGAACTTCTTGATTCGAATAATCTCATTTACGAAACTTTTGATATATTAATTGATAATGATATCCGCGAAGGTCAACTTTTATATAATAATTTTAATTTCCGTTTTTTTGAATTTTTTTTTTAAAGGTTTAAAAAAGCATTCTCATTGGCCCACGTATCCTCAAGTGTATGTTAAAGGAGGTCTTGCTTTTTTATTATATGTACTCTAGAGAAATATTTTTTTGATTATTTTCATAAACCGGTAAAATGAAAATCTATAAAAAGTTAATTTTTTTTAAATTATTTTCAAAATTTCTTTTTTTTTTTTTTATTAGTTTTGGTGGGCGGTCTTGATATTGTTCAAGAGCTGATTGCTTCAAAGGAGTTTTTTTCTCTACTTCCTTCCTCTTGTTATAAAGAAAGCGCTAAGGCCCTTCACGCGAGGCTGAAAAATCTTATCCAAACCAGTAAAGTCGTACTTTTCATGAAGGTAGCGTAGATCGTGCCTTATATTTATAACTGTTGCCATTGGTCAATAACTTTATTTAAGGGTACGCCCGACCAACCAAAGTGTGGCTTTAGTAAAACGATGGTTGATCTTCTTAAGTCTTCCGGTTTTTTATCATTTTTTTATCTTTTTATTATTTTATTAACGGGTTTATTATTTTATGCTTAATTAAAAAAATTATTAAAAAGTTTATTATTAATAGATATTGGCAAATTTGAAACTTTTGATGTATTATCCGATGAACATGTGCGTCAAGGGCTTAAGGAGTACTCGAACTGGCCTACTTACCCCCAACTGTTTGCTTTTTTTATATTCTGCATTATCACTATTTTTCAACTCTATTTTTTTTTGTTTTTAGTTATGTAAAAGGACAGCTGGTAGGCGGAGTAGACGTGGTTAAGCAACTGGTGGAAACGGGTGAGCTACAGGATGTTATAAACGGGCTCTAATATGCTTTGCTGAATGTAAATAGAAAAGGCTTTTATTTATAAGTTCGCTGTATTTAATTAAAGTAGGCAAGGCACGTGTTAAATAAATAACGCGTGTATATACCACGGGTTATATTTATTGCTTATTTAGTTTTACATGTGCTCATTAACATGTTAATAGTTGCCCCACATTTACTGAAAGTCGATTTTTACCACCACTGCTATTCGTACTCTACAAGGGTGGACTGTCTTTGCACATCAACTCTCATACGCGGGTCGCCCCCGTCCTACCCCGTTGGACACCCTAACCATCTTTTAGCAGATGGGCCCTTTTCCGAGTAATGAGGCGATATACTCAGCCTGAATTATAGTTTAATGCTTTAATGCTTAGCTGGGAGTTCAAGCCAAAGGCGAAAGACAAGTACATAATTTTAAAATAAGAAATAAACCTTTACTCGGTCGAGTGCCAGAAACTTTAATAAATAAATAAATGGGAGCCGGGATCTTTTCCTTGGCAGGAGCGAACTTTCTCACTACACCTCATTGCTATTCGGAACATGATTACTCCGAAGGTTATACGAGGCGCGCCTTAGTCCAAATCAAGCCTACCGAGCACCGGCACAATATAAAAAATTAAAAATTAATTTCTTCTCGCAGCTCTTTTGTCTTTCTCCGAATTTTTCTCATGATTTAAGGGTAATTTGGATAAGCATTAGTGTGCGACTACCTTTTAGGGGCATTTCAAGAGATTATGTTAGTTTTTGGTGTTTATTGGAAACGGGCACTTAGAAGTTTGGTGGATGCCAATATTGTCCAGAAAGTTATTGAACCGTACGAGAGCTATATAATTATAAGTTATTACATAAAGATTTTTTAAAGCTAGCTGTTGAACTTTACCTAGTAAACCTTTTAGCAGGACTTTCACCCCTTTCAAAAGTATTAAATGTAAGGTCAAAATAAGTTCATTTTTTGCCTAACTTGTAAAGAAGCTTGCCGCAAAAGAAGCATCAACGTAAAATTAATTGATGACAAAACATAAAAAGTATTTTGCGGCGTTACCTATAACATATAAATGCTAAAAGCTATTTTTCGCCGGGCAGTTTTTTTAAACCGAGTCCGTGGGTGTTTTCATCGTTTCTGCTCTTTCTCAAAGCAGAAAATTTACATAATCACAATCCACTCAGTTTTAACAATTTTTATTTTCTGATCTTACATTCTCTAGAATTTAACTGTAGGGACTATATGAAAAATAGGTAGAGAAAGGGAAAAGGAGATTTATTAAATTAGTCTCGCTGGCAGTAGAGGTTTAACTTTCTCTGAAGGGTGGGGCCTTTGACCTAAAGTAAATATAACGGTGTCTTAAGGTTTAAAAGTATGTTCGCAAATAAATTAAATTCCTTGGAAAAATACCAAAAGTTTGCAATGTCTCTTAGCAGCTCTTTTATTGGAAACGCTTGTACGCGAAACTCAAACACATGAAAATTCGTTCTTGTTCGTAGCAGCTAGTTTATATAAAGAATATTTATTATATTCCTCAAACTTCATAATAGCTACGCGTTTCTCATAATGTGCCGTCATCTATTATCTATTTGTAATTACCTTCATTCTTTTCTCGTAATTCCATTACATGCTTAGCTTGTATAACTTTACTTATTTTTCATAATTTAATAATGAACGTTGTGACTTAGAAATTTACTTAGTCAAATCTTTTAAAAACGCCTTCCGTGCCTTTTTACCAACTTCTGCAACAACGAAAGTAATTAATTTCAGTTTTTAAGTGCAATGAGATAGGTGCGTTCTATAAGTATTCGCCAACCATTATAATGAACGCCATACGACAATTCCCTATAGCAAGTTTTCGTTAAATACATTTTTGTGTCAGGTGTTCTTAATACGCATTTTAATAGCGATCTATTTATAATATTAAAAAAAAAAACTTCTTTATAGCGCTTACAAATGCAAAGGTTTTTACCAGTTATTCCTATAATTTTGCTTTTTGTACTTTGTTTTATAAAATAACTTGTAAAGTTTCTCGTTTAAAGAGCTTTAATAAAATCCTTTAGCGTTATTTAAAATAGTAAAAAGATTCTTTTAATAAATAAATCATTAAGTAACAACATACTTTTTAACCAAATTCCCGTGGCACTTCCAAATTTTTCCATAATCTCATATATCCTACAGGTCCTCGTAGAACAACGGTTTTTTAACTAAGACTTTCTCACAACTACTTCCATCTCTGTAGACAAACAAACATTTATACTTTAATAGTTTTCGCACTCTGGTTAAATCATTCCTTTATCAACTCAAATTTTATTTTTATCAAAAGTATTTGGGTTCCATTGTAAGTTAAAAAACCTTGTAGTCAAGGTTTTTATCGTCTTATACTAAGTATAAACCTCTTAACCAAGAAAAATCCATTAGTAAACTAAATCTTTCTCAAAAAAAAAATATAATATCTTAAACATTGTTTTTATTTTTTTTAGTGCTCGTTTCTTAGCGTTTGTTTTCTATCGATCTGATACAGATTTAAACTTAACACACCCTTTTTCTACAATAAATTTTTTTTGCGTAATATTAACCTCCACCTTAATTTTATTATATTTTCTTAGTTTCCATTTTTCAACCACCTGTTTATTTCGTTTTACCATTATATACATAACCTACAAAACAATTTATTACAGAAGAGTCAAACATTTTAGCTGTTGTAAAAGCTATTAAAAATTTTAGCCGCTATAGTATTTGAACCTATAGAGCAGGTCTTGTTGTTGACAATCAGGAATTTCTGCTCAGTTCCTACATTTTTATAAAAAATGCGAAAAAGACTGTACTTGCGAACCTATGAACTAACGCAATCAGCTCTTAACTTTTTCTTAATAAAGTTTATAACTCAAAAAAATGGTTCATTACACATTACACATTGCAAAGCCATCCTTTAAACCCCAAGCATTAATATATATATATGTTGATAATAAAATTTAAACCCAAGCGTAGATTTTTTTAATATATATGATAAAATTTAGCAAGTCTCATTGAATAAGACATAAGTGTAAAAATTATCTAACACCAAAATTACAATTAAATTGAGTCTTTGCACATCATAAACCCTGAGATTACAGAAAAGCAACAAAATACAGTCGCTTTATATATTTATTCCTTCTTCTGCTAGTTAAAACTCTCACTATTCTCGCGTTGCGTCCAGCTATAGCGCCTAAAAAGGTAACCAAGGGAAACAAGAATTATATGTCAACAGTTTTATTGCGTTGCTCACCAGGTATACACACGAACACGCACTGAGTCATCTACCACTCATAAGCCAACCCTCCCGCAAGCTTTAACGCACACAAAAAAAAGGCTTCTTGCGGGGTCCAACATTCTAAGGTTAATTACGGACATTCGGAACATTCAGAACATTCGAGAACATTCTACTAACATACACTTTAAGAAATAAAATGCAACCCTCAAACAAGGAATTGAAAAAATATAAACTAAAATAAAAGTTAAGAATGAGGCACAAACCTTTATAAACTAAAAGGGGAAAGACAACTAATCTACTGTTAAAAATCTAATGAATTTACTACAGATATTGTAACGACCAAAAAGAAGTTACTTCTATGAAGATGGCAGGGCGTTGTGCAACCAGGAATAAGCATAGATAATTAGTAAAATTATGTTTCAGAACCAGAACAAGGGCAGAACAAGACCAAGAAACAAAAGGAAAGGGAAGACGGTCGACAGTAAAGAGAAATAAACAAAACTTAAGCTTTCCCGTAGCTGACCAAGTCCATATATATATGCTAGTAAAGTAATTAACAATTCAGCGTGCTATTATGAAGGTAAAGGGCTTGGAAATGGAAAGGTTTAGTACCAAGTGTTACAGATGTGTTTCCTCATGGTTGTAATCTGTTAAAATCTTAAGACTGAGCTATCTATACTTATAAATTAACAATTTAGCAGCTTATCCGTTAAGGGATAGTTATTTACTAATTATTGTTTAAAATAAAACAATTAAAATAAGCTATGAAGTAACAGAGTACAATTTTAAAAACTTCTCACATATATTATAAGTATCTAACCCTATATACAGTATCGTTCAAAATTTTTTCTGTTTTAAATTTTTTTTTGGAAAAATTCTATAACGCTTTAATTAATAATTGGTTATATTGATCCCTTATATAATATGTAAGTTTAGATTGAGATCTTTTTAATGTAGTTTGTATTAGAGGAATTGCTTTTTTATTAAAGTCTTTATCGCTTTTTAAGTCGAGTGAAACGATTTTGCACGTGATCCCCTTATTGCAAAGTTATTTTAATCTTTGTACGAAATTTTCATGATCGCTCCATCACAGGGGATTTTTTTTTAAGCATTTGAGGGACTATAAGGGGTAGCTTATTTGGAGACCTTAATAAAGCTTAAACTTTCAATCGATAGAGAAAATGATGTAGAATGTCTTCTAGATTAAGGCATGCCTTGTACCGAGACCGCTTGTGAATGTGGTGTCAGCAAGGCCGCAAAGCTCAAATGATATAAATCGTCGTTGCAATGAACCTGGGTGTCCAAAGATCCTTAAAAACCGGAATGTGGCTCGACTTGTACGACAAGTGACATTGGGTGCAATTGAATTTGCACAGAAAGCTTCAAAAAACATAGGCCAGTTTCAAGATCCACTGTATCGACAGTATTACATTCTGCTGCTCTCTATGCGGAAAAAGTTAATCAAACCCACTCTGACAGACCGTCACAAGAGTCTAAGATTTGAGTTTGCGAAGATTTACGAATATTAGTCGATTTCTAACTGGGAAAAGGAATTTCTTCGAACAGAATCAAGATCACTCGATGTGGTTCAGGGGGTATTAGATGGTGGGTTGAAAGCAATCCGGCGATAATCGGACACTTGATTACCAGGTAGTGGAAACTTATACACATGGGGGAGAATGGATAATAATTTGTTCCTGTATAACATCAAAAAGTGTCAGGGAGTATCACGCAAGCACGTATTTGGGCAGTATTAATAATGACCTACCCAGAACATGCGATTGGTATGGCCTTAGTTTTGGTGATATGGTTTTTTAGCAGGATAACGTCCCATGTCACACTGCACTATTGGTACGATCATGCCTCCAATTATTTACAGTCTTTCCAAGTGCTAGACTGGTCTCCGCAATCTCCTGATCTCAGTTCCATTGAGCGTGCATGGGGAATTTTGAGGGGAAGATTGGGAATAGCTCCTGCTAACTTGGACGAGCTTTAGACACGCGTACAATCAGAATGGAAAAATATAACACCGGATGCTACAATCTGATTGCTAATAGGCCAGAGTATACAAGCAGTGATTCTGCCAAATGGGAGCTATCCTAATAATTAAACCTAGTTTATTAAACTAAATTTTTTCTAAATGCAAACTTAATTTAATACTCTTTCAACCTTACAAGCTCATATCTTTTGGAATGTTAAACCAATTTAGATCATGTATTAACAAAATGTAGCTAGAACACAGAAGTGCACCGTGTATAAATT